CTGCTTCGCGCTTCAGTCTGCTGACAGACAGCTACTTTGCGTTCCAGGAAAGGTAGGTTTGCTGCAGCAGCCTTGGGCTGGCAAGTAACTTCTCTCACAAGCCTTCTAGTTATCCCTGCCTTGTCCCAGGGGGATGCACTGTAGCTTTAGGAGCCTTAGCAAGAGTTATTGGGAGGAAAGAATTTAAGGACAGGACTCTAAGAACCAAGTGAAAATGTCCCTCTACTCCTGTTCCATCTGCTGGGGCACTAGGGTTCAAGCCCCAAGTGCATCCCTTATCAGATCCGAGTACAAGCTCATCCTTCTTAAACAGATTTGTTTAATCCAAAGGGGTAATATTTCCCTCTCCTCATATTTAATATGATGGATCATTACTAAGCTACTTGTCATTAGTACATCACGTGGTTAGTATCTAAAGACACACAGTCACATCAGGAAGGATTTTTACAAGCTTATAAAAGCTTCAGAAGAAATTTCAGCTCCCAGGCAAGGCTGATACTTATAGCTACTTAATCTTTCTATGGTTATTTTAGTCTTACCTTCAGTGGGGATCTGGTTAGCCCATACAGAAACAGGTGATAAAAACAGGATGGCTGAAAACAAGCAGAGTAGGATGTATCTGTGCCCCTGACACAGCTTTGTGTTTACTTAATGCACAAAGGCTGTTATTGCTGCCTGTAGCAGTTTAAATACCCTTAGTTCAATCAGTGGCCCATTTTGCTGTCTGAGTGCTGTTACTGTTTTTTAATTAAGACTGATTTTGCTAGTGAACACCCATGAAAAAAAAGCTAGCAAACACCACCTCCCACCCCTCACAGTGCACTCAGAAAACTTATTCAAAAGCAGTACTTAAACCCTAATGGGCAAGTTTTCCCACTGCCAATGCTTAAAGCAATATTTTAAAAACAAACAAACAAAAACCAAAAACAACAATAAAAAAACCCACAACAAAACAACAAACAAACCAACCAAACAGAATAAAAAAATAAAAACAGGCCCCAAAATTTGGTCTAAATTCAGAATCCCAAACAGCAGGCTGATGAATACCCTTCTCAAAGGCATTCCCAGCCACTTTTTTCTAGCTCTCAGCATTTCACGTTGTTTTTCAGGTTTACTAAAAGGGAGAGTAGTACTGTTTTCCAAACGTGAAATGACGCACTAATGCTATTGAACAGGAGTAATCTTATTACTGTTTTGTAAATCACAGACACAAATGAGTGATTATGGGCTTAATAACACGTGCTGAGGCAGAACTGATGAGGACCAACAACATCCCTTTTCTTTGAGTGGCCACTAGACAAATTCAGTGTTTACTTTTGTGATAAGGCTGCACCATGCCTTCTGAGCAAGATCAGTAGGATGATATATGTGTGCATTTAAAGACAAAAAGTACTTACATTCTGGTCACCCTAACATGCCATATCTGGAAGGGAAGGAAAAGAGATTTGTCGAAGTGGCTTATTCCCTAAAAATAATAATGTTCATGTACCCAAGAGAATAGACATGCTATCTTGCTTTGTTTACAGAGCTCTTGTTCAGCAACCATAAATAATAATAAATAAACAACAAAGATAAAGTACAAGATGTCTTTTTCACCAATCTTAAGTTCAGGACAGTATAATGCAATTGAAGTTTCAAGTCTTTCCAAAGTTTTCCAACAACAGCTGCATACTGAAAAGGTAATAGAAAAAGACAACACTTACAACTGCATCAAGAACAACTCCCAGGGAATTTGAGTTATCTTAGATAACTCAAAGATTCAGCTCAGTCCTTCAAGTGGGGCACTGAGTTGCCAGTTCCACAAAAGTAGCCTTTAAAACATCTGGACTGTAATAATTCTTTTGAAAATAGTTGCATGCTGAAAATAGTCACTGCTAAACCCATTCTATACTTGTTGAGATACAGATTTCTCTCCAGTTCAGCATGGCTGCAAGTTTGTTTTCATTCACCAAAGTAAATTCAATGCTCAGAGAAGAGAGCTCCAAGTCTTCCATGCTTTATTTTGAAGTCTTATGTCAGGTGTGTGGTCATAAGGAGACACCACACTGCAAGGCAGAGGGACTGTGCCTGCTCTGTGAGACAGGAGCTTGGTGGACTCACAGGAATAACAGCAAGGTCCAAGTTGGAAACACAGTGTGTAGCTATGCCAGGATGCCCACAGCACCTTGGGTATGACCTGAGAGTAGATCTTCCCTGCAATAAGTGCATAAAAGAGATAATTCACGCTACTAAGAGAAAGCAATACAAATACACGGAGTAGAGTACCAGGGAACTACTCCTGCAGCTATTTTACAGAAAATTAACCGAAGCACCATAATGAATTTGCTCCAAAATTGACAAGGAAAGCCTACAGCCCCAGGGCAGAAGCCAGCTTTCCTAACTCCTAATTCAGTGCAATGTTGACAGGATTATCCTTCACACTCCTAGAAGTGGGTCAGTTGCTTACTGAGGGCAGAAGCCAGTGATGGCAACTGACTGAAATGAGTTCAACTGAGCAAGAGAAAACCCAGAATTAGTTCATCTTGGATGTGATAAAAAGAGAGAGAGAGAGGCAGGAGTCCTTAAATGCTGTCAGCATGTCAACACACATTTATAAAACAATCCTTTTAGTTAGTGATCACCCAATAAATTTGCACGGATGTTTTCAACACTAGAGTTTCTAACGGGTTGCCACCAGTTACAAGATCCCCGTCCCACTTGAACAGGGAAAGCCACCAAATTTTGTGACTGGCAGCACAGCCCACTGAGTGGCCCTTTAACCTCAAAAGGAGGCACTTCCATGGAGGGCAGATCAGTATGGTTACTGCTGTCTCCCTTGGATGGAGCCACACTCTGGTGTTTGCAGCAGCCCATGAGGGCCACCCTGGACACCTGCTGGAACAGCAGAGGCTCTTAAGTCTCCACTCAGGAGCAGGAGAGCGTTGTGTCTGGACGGATACCATAAAGAACAGGTTGTGTCCCATGAACAGGAGACCCCAGCATAATTATCCATCTCACAGTAGTCCACGAGAAACTCGGTGTGAGAGTCTCCAATGCCCCTGTTGTGCCATGCCAGCAGCCTGAATGAAAGCTGAGCACACCAGCTGATAATCTTAAAGCCACACAGAGGAGCATAATCACTGCACTTGGCAAATAAGCACTTTTCTGTCACTGTGTTCTTATAAAGGGCCTCCAAATCACAGCAGCGCTAAGGAAACTTACTTATTCCTACACAGCAGTTTTACAAACCTGTCCATGCTATTTTCCTTACTCCACAGTCTCAAACTGAATAATCCTTCAAAAGCCATTAATCAGCTTTCATTATCTCTAAATTGCTTTTTCTTGCTTGCAATTAAGGACTAATATCCAAAGAGTTGGAAATTTATAAGGTAATTAACCGTAGTGAGTAACTGTTTTAAAGTGTGATCAACTACTGGATATCAACAGATGTCTTAGTTTTTGCCAGTAAACTTTTTTCCCCCCATGTGTTTACACAAGCTCGAAAAAGATGATTTGTTTAGCAGAGGTGGAACATTCACCAGGTAATACTGTATCTATACCTGTTCTTCCTCTAGAAAGCAACTGACTATAGACAAAAATACCTGCCAACTAGCAATTATTGTGGATTCAGGTTTTAAGGTGACACTGACATGATGAAGGATCTATTTTTACCTGTGTAAAGTATATTTCAAGTTCAGAATAAGGAACACAGAAAGAGCACTCACATTGTAATCAGTTCATGTACAGGACAAGAATCTGCTCAGCATTTGTGAACATCAGCACATGAAATAACATTTCCTCTCCTTGTGCTTCCATTCAATGAAATGTTGGACAAGCAGTGCTAAAAACTTTTTTGAGTAGGTCAATAATGTATTAAGCATTGACCAGGTTAGAATATCAAACCAAATTAGTGAGCTGGGTCTAAGGTTTTAAACAGTATATGAGATTCCTTTCCAGTCACTCCAACACAATATCAAAATGCTTTAGTCATGTTAATGAGACCCATTCTTCCTAAAAAAAGTTATTCACTTATTTCACGTGTTTCCATACATGTGGCATCCAAGGCAACACAAGTGCAAGTCACTCACTACACTCCAAAATCTGTCAGAGCAAACCCCGCTTAGGGATTCATCAGATAGATCTCACTCACTCGAGAAACTGCAGGTCAGAACTCACAAGAGGATGAAATCTGATCCTCTTTAGAGTAGAGCTTGTACTCACAGTAAAAGGTGGAAACTCCTAATTCAGCTGCTGTCCAGAGAGTGCTCAGAAACTCTTCTTGGTAAGAAAGTAGGGTGCTCATCCCCAGAACATAGTCAAGAACTTATTTCATCACTATTTCCCTGCTTTTTTCTTCCAGCAGAGCCATAAGAGGCTTTAGGCTGTTTCCATAGTGAGAGTAGTTAGCAGAACAACTGGCACCCAAGTATTTTGCAGTTTTCTTCAGCAGCAGCCACAGAATAGCAAAACTTGAGGAAAAGTAAAGATGTTCTCAAGACTAACCTATGGATAATATTTCAGTTAGACAATGAGTTAACAGTTTGAAGCTTTAGAATATGTTTAGCTGTTTCATTTTAGAGCTGAGGAAGAGGAAGCTCTAAAATGACACTTTCGACCTGCAATTTTTTTTTCTTCTATTCATACTGCAGCATTTCACATTTCTGTTTTCTCTTGAAAACTATGACCCAGTTTAGAAAGCCCATGCTTATCTATACATAAGGAATGACTCACGTACTGATGGGGGGAAAAAGAAGTTTACATACAGAAAATAAGCATTATGCCTGCTGGATTAATGTTTTTGACAGTTGTTACATTGCTTAGTGGAGTGAACAGTACAAGCCTAAAAGCAGAGCATCCCACATAGTGCTAGCCAGGAAAATCTGTTTGGAGACAAAATAATTTCTAATGATAAGTCTGAAATTCTTGTAAGGTTAGGGGCCAACAGTCTTTTAAGATGAAAAAATTCAAGAGATCTTGCAGATTAAGGATGCACTTTCTGAATGTTTTTACTTTTCCAACAGGTAACAGCTACGGGTAAAGATCACCTTTAAAAGGGAACATGGATTTAATAAACTCAACTGATCAAAACAGTACATCAGAACCGTTCAAATGGGTGACATCCAAGATTCTCATTTCCATTACCCTGTCTGTGCTTGCTCTGATGACAACGGCCATCAATTCTCTCGTGATGACTGCAATAATTGTGACAAGGAAGCTCCACCACCCGGCCAACTATCTGATCTGCTCTCTTGCAGTGACAGATTTCCTTGTGGCAGTCCTGGTGATGCCCTTCAGCATTGTCTACATTGTAAAGGAGACCTGGATCATGGGGCAGGTGGTGTGTGACATTTGGCTGAGCGTGGACATCACGTGCTGCACGTGTTCCATCCTGCATCTCTCTGCCATTGCTCTGGACCGGTACAGAGCGATCACGGATGCTGTGGAATACGCACGGAAAAGGACACCTAAGCACGCTGCCATCATGATAGCAGTGGTGTGGATCATATCCATTTTTATCTCCATGCCGCCCTTGTTTTGGCGGCACCAGACGGCCAGCAGGGACGACGAGTGCATCATCAAGCACGACCACATAGTCTCCACCATTTACTCCACGTTTGGCGCCTTCTATATCCCTCTGGCCTTGATTCTGATCCTCTATTACAAGATATACAAGGCGGCAAAGACATTTCACAGGAGGAGCGTCAGCCGGATCGTGAGGGAGGAGGGGGTGAATGGACAAGTCCTTTTGGACGCGGGTGAAAGAAGCACCAAATCAGCTTCAATGCCCAGCACGGCAGAGAAGACATCAGATCCCCTGGTGAACTCTGATAAAATCAACGTCACCCTGCGAAGCCCCAGGTCCGAATCTAAGCATGAGAAGTCCTGGAAAAAACAGAGAATCTCTAGCACAAGGGAGCGAAAGGCAGCAACTACACTGGGTCTGATCCTGGGGGCGTTTGTGATCTGCTGGCTCCCTTTTTTTGTAAAAGAAGTAGTTGTTAATACCTGTGGAAGATGTCACATCTCAGAAGACATGTCTAATTTCCTAGCATGGCTGGGATATATAAATTCCCTTATTAACCCTTTAATCTACACAATCTTTAATGAAGATTTCAAGAAAGCCTTCCAGAAGCTTGTGCGGTGTAGGCAATACTTTTAAGAGCTTTTGTTCATATAAGGAGAACATACTCATTGTTTTTTAACCTGTATAAATTTATATAACTGAGATGACGGTTGTTGTATTTAAGGAAAAGCACCAAGACTCTGCATTTACATTATGACTTCTTTTGTATAAGTAGTATTGGGAGCATAAATTGCCCAAGTTTTAAAAGAGATGGATCATCTGGGATCAGTTTTGCTCTAGAAAAGAGGTAGCATATTGTGGCTCTGATCCAGTTGGGATTTGCACAGCTGCCTAACTTGAAGCATAAGGTATTACCTTAAATATGAAGGAAATACACACTTGAAGTAGACAAATTTTTTTAAAAAGTAACCCTCAAGCATCAATGAAATTTTAGGTAAAAATAACACACAGCTTTTAAACCCTGCTAATATAGGATAGAAAATACACCATGGAATCACAACATGATTTTATCAGTATGTCACAGGCCTGCAGCATAGAGCCAAGCCATTCCCAGCAAAGGGTAGTAGCTTTAAATATATCTAGCATCATCCTCTGTTGATTAGCTGAGTGCAGCTGCAGCCCTGCCTTCTCCCATAGATGAAGGTCTTCCCCGTGTTATGCCCCCACAGCACCCCAGCAGCAGGCAGTGTGCTTCCATGGGTTGCCAGGTTCACAGCAAGCCAGTGTTGTGAGCCCTCTGCCACTCCACACCCCCAGCAGACACGGGCAGAGCCCCAGGGGAAACAGCCAAATACCTGGGGCACCTCCAGTAAGCTGGGTACACATCGTGCCCAGTGCTCTGAGACGCCACTTCCATGGGAACTGGGGAGATAAAAAGCTCATAAAGAGCAGGTGGTCCTCCTTATGGAGACATTAGAAGGGAGGGAAGCATGAGACACTTCTTTCTTCGTGTCCTCATCCCTACCTCGCACACCCGGCCAAGCGCAGAACCTGCGACTTGCAGCACCAAACCCAAACACACCAGTCGTTCCAGGGCCCTCAGAGAGCTGCTGCTGCTGCTCAAGGGTGGCTTCTCCACCTAATGGAGAACTGGGGCTGACAGCTCTGGCACAGCAAGTTCAGCCTTCCATCCTCAGAAGCTGAGTGTGCCCCAAGTCTTTCCTTGACTGCCTCAAGCACCAGGGCTGTGCACCCTCTTCCCAAGCACGTGAGAAAGCACCAAGGCTCTCTGGAAAAGGCTGTGCATCAACTTCTGCAGCCAGGGCAGATGGAGTGGCCTCAGTATGCAGGGCATACCTGGGCAGAGGATCCTGTGGGACACACACTGGCAGGCAGCTCTAAACCCCTCTTTCCCCCAGAGCATCTAGTCCATATCCCCAGTCCCAGAATAGGTAAAAGGGTCTTGTAGGCACAGCCCTGGCCAGCTTGTCCAGTCAAAGGCAACATCAATGAATACATCCCTTCTAAGGCCTCAAAGATGGCACCTTGGCCAATTCTGCTTGGCATGCTCTAGATGCCAAGCCACAGTGCAGGTTTGCTGACAGCTAAGGGTACTAACAGAGCAGGGGGCATTTGCCCCTGCGTGCAGTTGAGTCACTAAGAGCCACACCAGAAGCCAGGGACAGGTTTTGCACTTTTCAGGACAAGCACATTCAGGCTCTGTCACTGAGAGCTCGGCTTCGAATTCATTGCCAGACATTCAGTGCTGCCTCACAGGAACAGGGACTTGAGGCTCCTTACATGAACTGCAAACCTGGCTGTCAGCAGCAGCAATGTCCTACTACAATTTGGCACCTAGGCCAGCAGCTTAGGAACATCACAAAGAAACTGAGACATGAGACTACTATGCTCACCCTTAGTTTGGGAAAGGTGTTACTGGTCTTTGCAGTTGTTCTTCCAGGAGACTTTCAGTGGTTTGCATTAAACAAGAAAACCCAGACACCAGAAAAAAAAAAAAAAAAAAGTCCATCACTGTTGTTTCTCTCTCCCCCTCTCCCTCCCTTGTATTACAAACTCTGGAGTTCAATAATTTTTGTGTTTTGCTCACTGGCTACCAGCTGACACAACAACTGTCAGAAGAGTTTCTTGCAAGATGACGAGGTTTGAAACTTGAGATATTGAACTAATTTGTTTCTGTCACTTGCAATTTACTGTATTCTGCTTTCACATCAGGGTCCAAATGAAATGCTATTCAGAACTACTAGAAATGGTGCATTTGCTTTAGCATTGGTTTTAACGCAGCCAGGAATCTAATGGAAAGCTCATTTGTCATATTATGTAGCTCTAGCACAGCAGTGGCACAGCTAAATTTTGAGGATACTAGGATGCTACAGAGTGGAATTGGCTCCTGCTCAGTGCAAGCTTAGTGCACTTCACTACCATTGCAGCCAGAGCACAGCCCCTGTGACCTCAGCAATGGCTGCATTATGCTGAAAGAAAAGAAATTGCTTTAAACATCAGCTGTGCTCTGCTGTCTCCAGAAAGAGCCATGAAATCTAGCTTTCTAAAAGGATTAGCAGATTAGTAGGAGGCAGCAAAGAAAACCCCACTGAAACATTTAATATTGAAGATCTGTTTCCCATGTTTCCTGAGTACTGACTCATAATATTTTTTATTGGGAGGCATCTATTCCTCTCCCCTGCTTCTCCCTTTGTGACTGCTGGAGTATGGAGTATATTGTTTATCCTCTCACACGTAAGATGTTTGACAATATCTTGTGAAATCAAATTGGAAGAAAAAATACGGGGCTGCTTTTTAGGAGAAGAGATACTTAAAATACTCATTTAAATAATAATGGATAAAACTCAAAGAATGGAACCATATGTAGATAAACAGAAAATAGCTGTCATTTATGCACTGTTAACAGTATTATACTCTGAACCTAATAAGGATGCTGAACATTTCTCAAGATGCAGGGTGGTTTCTTTTGTATGGTTTTCACTGAGCTGTACCTGCTCACCCTCCAACACCCAGTGGTGGAAGAGGCAACTACAAGAAATCCAATGAAACGAGTGGGCAGTTACTTTATTAAAAGCACTTGCGGCTTGTGGACCATCATTTCTTGGTGTCTGACTGCGACTCATCCCTCGCTCCCTGACAGAACCCACTGTGCCAAACACTTTCTCACACACCACCACACAGTATCATTTCATCTCTAGCATTTACCCATGCACGTGATGTGTTCAGGAAAAAAAAAAACACGGGTTCCTCTTTCAAAGTGCATAAAGGTTAAGATTTCTGCAAGATGCTGCTTCCCCTGCCTATGAAGTAAACAGGCATCCCCTGGACCTTAGCACCAGATTCAAGGAGCAAGGTTTTGTGCACTGGAGCTAAGATTTTTTTTTTGTGCCCTGGGAGAGTTTAGTCTCAGCAAACAGAAAAAAATATGCCTGGTTTCCTGTCTCTATCAGAAGACTCTGCGTGTGTTTTTCGGGGAAAGGGTTTACATCTCCTCCAGAGTTTGCACAAAGCTTCCTGGATCCCTATCCCTGCTGCAGCTGCCCTCCCCATTGCTGTTTGCTGCCCACCCATCCACCTATCACTTTAGATTTTTTCCAACCCCCGGAGAACTGGATTTGAAGCAGCTGACCCACTCCCACTTCAGCTTTCAGGCAGAATGATTCCTGAAGCGGCTGTGAACACGATACCCCGTTCAGGTGGATGGTTTTTGCTAACAACAAGCAGTTAGATATACCTCATTATCCTGTCCTCATTTCTACGCCTTCCCTCCCTGCCAGATGCTTTATTGGTGTCCTTCCCTCCTGAGGATGGCATATCCCTACAAAGAGCTTGGGGATACAAAAATACATTGTTTTAGTGATGCAGTCGCACTCGTTAACGCATGACTGTACCACCCAGGAACACCCACCTCATCCAAATGCGCTTTTGGCAGTCGCTGTCTTCAGCTGGTGCCTAATTGTTCTTGCTGCTAGGGAGGTACACGGAAATAGCTGTGTGCCAAACTATTTTCTCCAGTAGTTACAAACTCAGCACATTATTTCTAGGCAAGTACACATTACTACTTGGCCTTTCCCATTTCAGATTCCCTTGCAGAAGGGAAACAGAAAAATCACCGCTGCAGCCACTGCAAGAAAGGGCTTTTTTGAACCTCTGCACACTAAAGCCCTAATCACTGCAGGAAAGTGAAAGGAAACCCTTGTAGCAGCCCTGTGAAGATTAAGCATAAACATAACACTTGTCTCACCTAGAAACAAGAACTGCAACTCTCCAGCACCCAAGTGAGCAGCAAATGGCATCTGCTGGTGGGTCTTGTATTCCTCCTGCAAAAAGTGCTTGCTGCAGTACGGGGGCAGTACCAACAGCAGCTGATCTGCTAAAAATTACCAATTTTTATTACCAAAATTACCAAAAATTCCTGATACCTCTTTAAGTAAAGAACTCTGCCACTCAGGAAAATTTCACAGGGGAATATTTTTTAGGCAAGGAAAAAATACTGTGTTTTATTAGTCAAACTACGTTAGTACAACTATGTATTAAAAATCCTGGTTGGGGCAGTGTCAAAGTCAAAGATCTTCTCATCACATGCTATTACTTTTTGTCCACTAGTAGCTCAAATCTATTGTATCCACACTTATTTATATAATATAGTGGCATAACACGTCATACATATGATACAGGCATACATTTATTTAAAATATAGTTTTGAAGGTATTCATTGCTACATATTAGATGGGTGACACTAATAAAATAAGCCTCTTTCAATTCTAAAGCAACATAGCCTCCTACACGTGCATGATATTTCCCCTCACTAAATTAAACCTCTTCCTGTTCTTCCTGTACATTCATTGATTTGAAACTCAGAGAAGGATTTTATGGTTTGGGTTTAAAGATGAGAAACACGTTTAACACCACAAAAAGCACTACCTGCTAAGATAATGCTGGTAAAGTGATTAATCTTCTCACTTTCAGTTTAGATCATGACTGGTAGCAGACATCTAATGCAATAGCTAACTCTGTGCTGGCAGCACTCCAGGATGCAAAAGCTGTGGCTAATTTGTATGACAGCAAGCGTCTGCTAAGCAACTCACTCTTGGCTAAGCCTGGTTTCCCATATTTCACAGTACAAAGCTGCATAAAATAGTCCACAGCCATGAAATAAGAAATCAGCCAGTTTGCACTCCAGTCGTTCCTAGGCTGGCAGTCACTAGAAGGCAGTTGCTCCACAAACACACACCAAGAATCAGCAGGGGCAAAGCTGTGCCTTTATCCACAGCAAAAAAAATAGTCAAAACCTTGCACATCCATCTATTACTTTGGAGGTAGCCAGGAGGCAGCCTGAACTGGCTGATGACCAGGTGGGCTCAAGACAGAGCAGCAGTGCTCCCCCCCAGGGGATGCAAAAAGAGATCCCTTCAAAGAGAATGCCACCAGCACCAAGTTTAGTCAGTACTAACCACTAACAAAACAAGGGGCAGTTCAGCATCTGGACCCTCTTCCCTGCAAACGGGAGGTTAAACAGATATTAATGTTCCCTTAGTATCAGCTCCTGCAGCTTACTGTCTATCCTAACTGAGATGGGCTCTTTCAGTGCTTCTAGAATATTTAGCAACTACCTCAACAGCTCTATGCTGGTCAGTAAAGGGCTTGCATTCCCTGTCTTAATAAAGTTAATCTCTTGAAGCTTGAGGGGATCAATCAGCTTGGGTATATGGAATTTAAGATGATAAAAATTCAGGTTAAGGGTTTTCATGTTGTGGATTTTTCTTCCGTATCTACTCTGACAGCCAGCAAACTGCTGTTGTTTTGAACCCAAAACAGTGTTCCAAGAAAGATGTATCTATAACAGGTAAACATGATTTCATTTTTCACACACATAAAGGTAAGTTATATTACCATTTGAGTGTTTCTAACCTCATTCGTTGATGGCCTTTTGCATTTTGACAAGTATGTTTTTGAAGTATGGAAGAAATATTAATTAACTAATTATCTGAGGTCTTATCTCACTTTTACAGTTAGAAAACCAAAACTCCAGGGAAGTAGGCAGCCAACACCTCAGACAGGTCCTGGGGTGCTATTCAGCATACAAAACAAGAAAACAAAGGGTGTTTTCAAAACTAGTGCAGGAATCACAGAATCACAAAAACGTTGAGGTTGGCAGGAACCTCTGGAGTTCATCTTGTCCAATCTCCCTGCTCAAGCAGGGCCACCTAGAGAAGACTGTCCAGGGTCACGTTCAGGTGGCTTTTTGATATCCCCCAGCAAAAACTCCACCAACTCTGAGCAACCTGTGCCAGCACTCAGCCACCCTCACAGTAAGAGTGTTCCTCACATTCAGACAGAGCCTCCCATGTTTCAGGCCTGTTGCCTCTTGTCCTGTCACTGGGCTCCACTGAACAGAGCCTGCCTACATCTTCTCTGCACCCTCACTTCAGGTATTTATCACAGAGATAAGTTTTACCTTCTCTTCTGAACAGCACCAGGTCTCTCAGCCTTCCCTCGCAGAGGTGTTGCTCCATCCCCTTCAACTTCTTAGTGGCCCCTCCCTGGACTCTTTCCAGTATGTCCATGTCTCTCCTGTACCAAAGAGACCAGAATTATACCCAGCACTCCAGGTGCTGAGCAAAGAGGAAGATTCACCTCCCTTGACCTGCTCGTCACACTCCTCCCTGTGCAGGCCAGAACACAAGTGTCCTTCTTTGCCATAAGCTCACAGTGTGACTCCTGTTTAGCTTTCTGCCCACAAGTCTGACTCCAGGTTCTTTCTTGCCAAGCTGCTTTTCAGCTTGTTAACCCCCAGCATATACTAGTGCACGGGGCTGTTCCTCCCCAGGTGCAGGATTTTGAGCATCCCTTTGTTGAACTGCACAAGGAAT